AGCTGCACCCCTTAACCACCCTTCTAACACATTAAATCCATACAGATGACTTTTATGAAAATTTATTCATAACCCAAAAATCAATTCAAACCAATCAAAATTGTTTTCACTACTCTTAAGTTTTTTGCAGTTGCCTTCCCCATGAAAATTGTATCATCTACAAATTGTAATAATGATAACATCATACCACCACTCCCAACTTCCACTCCTCTCAACATACCCTCATCAACAGCTTTTTTCACAAGGCCACATAACCCTTCACCCACTAATAGAAACAAAAAAAAGGAGACAAAGGGTCACCTTGACAAAGACCTTTGCCCACCGAAAACTCCTTAGTTGGACTACCATTAATAAAAATAGAAAGCCAGCCCGTTGAAAGACACTCGTGTATCCACTATCTCCATTTCTCCCCAAAACCCATTTTATCCATCATCCAATCAAGAACTGACCAATCAACACAGTCATAAGCCTTCTCAAAATCAACTTTAAATATGAAACTTTCATGTTTCCTTTTCTTCACTTCATGCACTACCTCATTCAAAACCAACACATTGTCTACCAATTGCCGGCCACCTACAAATGCTGACTGCGAATCACTAATAATACCTGCTATTACCCCTTTCAACCGATTTGTCAATACCTTAGTCAATAGCTTGTACAAACAACCAATTAAACTAATAGGCCAATACTCTTTAAAGTGCACTGGATTTAATTTTTTGGGTATTAATGCTAAAAATGAGGAATTTAAACCTTTTACTAACCTCCCATGCTAATGAAATTCCATCCTAAAATTAACAAAATCACCCTTCAATGTGCTCCATGCAAACTTTATAAAGTTAAAATTAAATCCATCTAGCCCTGGCGCTTTCGACCCATCACAACTACTCAATCCCTTTTCAATCTCCTCAATGGAAAAAGGCTTTTCTAGCCACTCCTTTTGTGCCGTCGAAATGCTTTTGAATTGAATCCCATTCATTTTGGGGCGTTTCCACTTTTCATTTTGAAATAACTGAGTAAAATACTTAACAGCCTCTTTCACTAAATTTGGCTCTTCTACCCAACCTTCCTCACATAATACACTTGATAATGCATTTTTTGCCCTCCTTGCATGAACACTCTTGTGAAAGAAACTTGTATTTGCATCTCCAAGGCGCACCCAAGCATCCCGAGATTTTTATTTCCAAATAGCTTCTCTCTTCTTTAAAATCTCCCACAACTCATGAAAGCACTGCCTTCTATGCACCACCTTGTTCGCGTTCAACTCAACCTTCTCACTTTTTTTATCCAGCAACTCAATCTGCCTTGATACATTTTCAAATTGCACCTCCACATTGCCAAGAACCCCCCTATTCTAGCTTCTCAAATCCTCTTTTAATAATTTCAACTTCTGTTTACATCTGAATGCTGCCCATCCTTCAACTTGCATTGCCTTCCATCTGTTTTCCACAAAATCTTGTAAATTTGAATGTTGTTGCCAAGCATCAAGCACTCGGAAAGGTTTTGGACCCCAATCTACATTTCTTGACTTGAAAATAATTGCACAATGGTCTAAAATTGATCTTCTAACCCCAACTTGAGTCCAATCTGTACTTAACAAACTCATATCGGCAGACGATAAAAACCTATCAATTCTACTCATTGACGTGCCATCCGGTCTATATCACGTGAATTTTCTATTCATCAAACTGACCTCTACCAATCCAGTGCCTTCAATAAATTCATTAAACTCATTCATGTCCAGTGTCTCTCCCATTCTACCCTTCCTTTCTACCATACTCCTTATAGAATTAAAATCCCCAGCTAACAGCCATCTACCACCCCCCTCCAATACTAATCTACCAATTTCCTTCCATAAGAATACCTTCCTTTGCCTTTCACATGGCGCATATACATTAACTAAATTACACAACTTTTTCTCTTGACCCCATTCACTAGAAATTCCAATAAAACCCTCCCCCTCTAAAACACCCTATTTAACAAACCTCATTTTATTCCATATGCACAATAAACCTCTAGAATTGCCCACTGATTTCTGCATTACCCAGTCAAAATTATCTGAATTCCATAAAGCTCTACACAAGGAAACCTCAACCTTTTCTACTTTAGTTTCTTGAAGAAACAAAAAATCAGGATCTTCCTTCCTAACCAAATTAAGAATCACCTTCCTCTTAAACACATTACCCAAACCCCTAACATTAAACAAAATAATCTTCATTAAAAAACAAACCTCACAAACTGCTAATAGCCGACCTTTCTTGGACATCAAGCTCCCCTGAAATTGGCTTCATCCCGTTCCTCTAAAGCCACCAACCTTGACATCACCTCATCTTCATTTTGTTGACATTGAATCCCTAGCCTCTGCCCCATCTGGAACAGCCTCCTAACCTCTTCTAGCTCCAATTGCCAAAAAATTACATTATTCCGATTATGAATGCATCCATCGGACACACTAGCACATTGCTCATCAGCTGGAATTTCTGTTTGCTGTTCATGTACCTTTCTTTCCTTTCGAAATCTTGATCTCGCTGTGATGTTTCTTGTCCCCATCTCCCTCGGCCTCTCGGCCTGTTGAGCCCCTGCATAAAGCATCTCCAGATTTTTACTTTTTTTCCTTCTTTGAATCAATTCCCGATTCTGCCCATCACTGCTCTTAACATATCCCGTTTCAGCCTGCATTTCCTCCAAACTCTCATTATTTGGCCCGTCCAACACCCCCACAACCGACCCATGTTTAGCTTGCACATCATCTAACCCCTCAACATTCGGCCTATCCAATACCCTCTCAACAGTTGGCCCATCCAACTCCCCCTGAATAGGCCCATGTTTTGCTGGTCCATTATCTTCCAACAACTCCATCGAATTTGCTTCCTTAGAATTAGCATGCCATTTTAGAAGCCATTTTGAATTCACTGACGTTACCGCACAATCTTCGGCTTCATTCTCTCCATCATCCCCCAAGAAACCGTCTGCATTAACTTCAGCTTCATCATATCCATTGTCGAAATATTCTGTATCTGATTCTGATATCACCGGATTCCATTGTTCGCCGGCCAACCATCAATTCGGATCCATTGGCCATTCCTCCTCAGTCACCATAACGAAAAAATTTCTCCATTCACCTTTAGCTTTATTACAAAATGAATCTTAGTCATATCCTCACACAAAATCAAGACTCTCCCTTCACATAGGAATGATTTACTCCTAGTGTCTTCATCAACAAGAATCACCTCTCCAATTAGGCCACCTAACTCTGTGAAACACCTCTCGCTCCAGACTTTCAATGGCACACCGGTAAAACGAAGCCAAACCAGTCTGTTCTTTGAAGCATAGTAGATAATGAACCTGGTTGAATCCATTCAAACCAAGACTCCACCAATTCCTTGTGACTATTAAGAAATTCTTGTAGGCCACCCTCCAAATTGTCCTTTAATACCACTTGTCTCCCCCCTAGCAAAGCAACATTCACTTGTAACCCATCAACATCCATTCTACCCTGGATTTTCTTCACCATGTCTAATGAACCTACCACTGCCACCATGCTTTTTTCAACCATGTAGTCTCACCCTCCGTGGGAGAAAACTCTAGCACCAACTCTGGCTCCCCGTTCCCCACCTTCAACGGTATATCTTGCTTAACACACACAGAATCTGTGCCATCCCGAACGCACTTAAAATCTGAGATCTCCTTTCCGTTCTTCCCCTTTGCCTGCATAAATCCATTATTGGAGGATTTAACTTCCTATATTGCTGCAATTTTACCTGCTACAACTTGCGTGTATGTTAATCTAGGACTCATGGTTCTATCCTTTTGAACCCATTTTTTCTCCATCTTCTTGTTCTGCCCGAATGATGACCCCTCCCTTCCTCTTTGCATGTTAATTGTCAGTTTTACCTTGAGCTGGTATGAGTCTAACCAGATCTGATTCAATTTCCCCTCCATATCCTTGACATCTGAAATCCCTACCATTCGAACAAAACCGAATCGACGTCCTCTTCGATCCCTGCATGTTGGAATATAAACATCTGCCACTTTCCGAAATGACCAGAATGTAAACCACATATCCTTAGGAAACCGATCCTCCGGAAAATCATAGAAGAAGTACGTAGTAGCTTGACCCATAAATTGACTGCCATATCCTGGAAGCCGCTGCTTGAGCCCCCCACTACTGTCCCTGGCTGTCGGAAACCTCGCTTTGACCCTAGTACTCACTCTCTCCATTTCTCGTTCCGTGGTGAAACGTGTTTATAAACTGTTGCTACAACCCTCCCCATTCTTGATCCGCAGGGTACATTTGTAATGCTCAAAGTAATCGTGGCTAGCACACCGCTGTTGCAACAAGTAGAGGCTGCATGGAGGCCTATGGTCTCCAGCGAAACAGATTCGAAGAACAACTCTTCTTAAGGACACTAATATAGAGAAACCTTTTTTATGCAATCTTTTTATATAATTTTTACATGTTATTAAATGAATGGATGCACTTAATATCACGGAACCTAAATAAATAAAAAGAGTGAATTATTTACATGACATATAAGATTGTATAAAAAGGTAGCATAAGAAGGTTGCCAACATCAACATAAATTTTTGGGTCCACCAATTGATTTCGTTTGCCACGCCAGCTTGGAGATTTGGACATCCACTTAATGATTGGTTAAACTTAGAGTTCATATGCTTGATTAGTAAAAACTCTAAGTTCATATCCTCATAAGTTACTTTTGAAAGTGCATTCCCTTAATTAGCAGGTAAAAAAAATTCATATCCTTAATTAATAAAGTTGTGAAAGTTCGTATGTCCATATATATATATATATATATATATTATTTCTCTTCATTCTCTGCTTACAGTTGTCAATAACTACATGCTATAATGAAAGGAAAACTATATCCTTACGATTACAAAGTTCAAATTAAGGAATGCAACCCATGGATGTTATTATTCGAAATGCATAACATGTGATCACTACAAATAGGTAAACAATTTTATGTAAGCTCTGAGGCTTCACTTATCGCAAACTTTGTAATAGTGAACATAACATACGTACCCAATTACCCATGGTAAGATGGTGACCTTCGTTTCTTGGAATTTATACAAAGGCTTGAAATGTAATATTAAAAAAAAAAAAATAGATCAATGGTTAAATATTGGATGTGTTTCAATTCACCCTTAATCATCGGTTTTATAACAGTAGTTTTTTTAAAAATTTAAATGAAGTGTAAAAGATACACTTACCCAAAAATTATTACAAAGGTGTTGGTCAATACCAATTGACTTCTTCTAGAACTAAGTATCGAAGGAAAACATTTCTCATAGAACCTGTCCTGAGATCACCCTTGTTTCTAGTGTCTTCTGCTTGCTTAATCATTGTATTTTTTTTTTTTTATTGTAGCTACAAATATATAAATTTGCACATTAATTTCTCACATGCAACTCCAGTTAATCATATTGTGTTAGTAACTCCAAAAATAGTCACCTCTGCTTCCACCACGCAAACATCCTTCACCAAACAACCATTGCTTGGAAGATTGAAATAGCCAAAAGTCACATATTTTGCCCATCCATTCTCCGGACTAGACTCACTGAACCAGTAACTTACTGCAAAAGAAAG